ACGTGAAAGATTGCGCAAACAGTGGCTTCTTGAGCAGGCGCAAATTAAAAGTTAGTGATAAAATTTAACATGCTAATGAGTATCTTTTTCATAGTATGCATCATCAACACCTGCTTCTGCTGTATTTCTTCAGATGAGCCTCTTCAAATCACTTACAGCTATTGGGATGGTACTGGCCATCGACGTGCTATCCAGGTAATAACATTTTTTTCTTCCATTTTTTGTTTTGACTTTATTTTTTTGATACATTTTTTTATTAATTTTACCTAAAATTGGGTATATCTGTTATGTCTAAGTTCTTTTGTGGACTTCCTTGGTCGATCATTAAATATCAGGTTCGGAAAGGTGATTCTATTGGGGAGTTTCTTCGTGCTGTTCAGCAGCAGCTTGCTCCTGAGTTTCGAGAGGTCCGGACTACTTCTGTGGAGAATCTGCTCTATGTGAAAGAAGATCTCATCATTCCACATGTAAGATCTTTTTTTTTTTTTTTGTGGAAGCATTATTTTTTGCTCCTTGTTGAAACTTGTGTTCTTTGTATCTAAAGGAATTACTTTCATTCTTCTGCTCTATGTTGCAGCAACACAGTTTCTATGAGCTGATTGTCAATAAAGCTAGAGGGAAAAGTGGACCGGTAATGCCCTCTGTTCTTCAACTCTTTTTCACTTTGAAGGGTGATATATGTTATGAGCTTTATGACCATTATTTGAATGTATCATTGCATCATTTCTCTTTTGATCATTACTTGGTTGTGAGGTTCAATTATTTCCGTAAGTGGTTCTCTATTCTATATTACTGGATTACTTCTATTGTTCAAGAAAATATTATTTTATTTTCTAGACAATTCTTTAATATATAAATGAAGTAATTTGTTGTCAATGTTGTTGGTTTACTTGTTCATGGTAGACTGGATATACAACATTTGTGTGTGGTTTTCTGTTGGAATAATAATGAAGGAATTTCACCTAACTCTTCGAGTTACTCTTTTTTTTGGATCCCTTAACAGCTTTTCCACTTTGATGTGCATGAGGATGTCCGAACCATTGCAGACGCAACAATAGAGAAAGATGAGGTAAGGACCTTTACCCTGCTCGATATTAGTGTCTATTATGAAGTGGTAAATTGTGATGATCTCCAAGGTGAATCCTTTCTACTTGGGAATTTCATACCTTGCACGGCCCCAAGAGTAAGGGGGTGGGTGATTGGGTATAAGTTATTTTGGATTTGTTGGATAAACAGAGTTAATTTTGAAAATGTTGATTGGTTAGGTTTAAGCAGGATTTTGAGTTTGTATTAAAATAATATTTCAAATATATTGATTAAAGTTGATTGATATAAAAGTAGGAGATAGATAATTAGAAGTGATGAGTAGATAAAATTATGTGAGTGGTTGAATAATGAATTAAAGTTGATGCGGTGGGTGAGGATGATTGATTGATATTACTTATAATATTGTGGAGAGTTGAGTTGAGTTAAATTTGAGTTAGATTTCGAGTTGACAAATAAAATAATTATATCTTATAAACAATCAGGTTTGAAAAGTTAGGTCCGAGTCCCCTACATCTTTGTTTGCATGATAGTATCCTGTTGCATATAGTTATTACCTAACTAATATCGGGTAATTTCTCTCTTTCACACACACACACACACATACACACATGCGTACTCATTTATCATTTTGCTCTTCGGCTTATCTTATCGAATATTAACTATTGTTGTAGTTTCTATTTAGCCTTTCTCATCTGGTTATGCTAGCATCTTTACCTAATGCAGCACTGTTTTTCTTTCAGCTTCCCTTCGATGTTTGTATGATTTGAACTTTTGTTAATCCCACGTTATTTTACAGTCACATGCTGGTAAGGTTGTGGAGAGGCATTGGTATGAGAAGAACAAACACATATTTCCAGCATCGAGATGGGAGGTAAACATTCACTATCCCTGATTTTTATTTTTTATTTTTATTTTTTTTTTTTGCAGAATTGTAATATATTTTTGTTCCTTTCGCAGATATATGACCCTACGAAGAAATGGGAAAGATACACGATTCACGGGGATTAATTTCATGAATTGTACTTTGCCTTATCATGGGCTGTGGATTAATTTTATCTTATGTTTCCTTTATGAATGAATGTTTCAAGGGTTTGATACACAACATTTGTATGTGATGTGTGTCAACAGTAGACAGGCTCGAACGCGTTATTAGGGGGTGATTGTTTATGGTTTGAATAGTAAAAAAACTAGAATTTTTTAATTATGGTTAAGTTTAAGAAAAAGTTGTATGGTTAGTTGTTAGTGGATATATTAAAATAGTATTTAAAATAAAATAGTTAAAGTTGATTTGATGTAAAGTAGGAGAAAAATGATTGGAAGTGATAGTTAGTTAAAATTAGTTAGAATTATGTGAGTGGATGAATAGTGAATTAAAGTTGATGTGATATGTAATAATGGTTTGTTGATGTTATTTAATTATATAATAATATTGAAGATAGTGGGGTTGAGTTAAA